CCACACATTGCTGCAGAAAAGCTCAGATAGGGATCCGATAGCGCACTTCCGACAAGATGGCAGGTGTGAGCACTGACGTTGCCACCCTATACACCAAGTATGTATAAGAAAAAAAGTAGATTAAGCGACCTACACATCAATGAAATTTGGAATGAAAAAGTGGGCTTAAATGTCAGCGAAGACGGACTTCATGATCACTGTGAATAGTAAGATACAACCGCATCAACTCAGTGAAGTCAGAGTCTTCGTAACCGAGCATTCTAGTAAAATTGTGAGACCAATCGGTTGAAGAATCAATAGCTGCAACAGATGTTCCGTCACGGTATAAATTCCGATAGATGATAGCAGCGACGGAAGGAAGTTTAGCCACCAAATCCATTGAGTCCTCATATACATACTAAAATTGAGTAAAAAAAGAAATGCAGAGGCTTACCTCCCAGTAATCTGATTTCTTGACTCCTTTATTATACGCAGACACAAATTTTGATTCAGAATTAAGAGTCGCACAGGCTGCTGCTAGCTGACTCATTGGATGGACACTGCTAGGAATATTATTGAGGAGAGTGACAACATGTGGAGGCAAATCGGCACGATGGGCCCACTCTTGTGAAATAAACCTAACCTGCTCAACATTAGGTATTTTCCCAGTAAGCAGAAGAAAGAAGAGGCCCTCCGGAAGTGGTTCTTTACCACCAGGTGCCTTGGGTAGCTTTTCCTGACATTGAGGGATAGAAAAACCACGAAAGCGGATGCCCTCTTCAGGATCCAGAACAGAAGTCTCCGTAACTAAGCCCTTTATTCCTCGCATGCCACCGTACATCTGCAGTAAATACTGAATACAAAAGTACCATATCAACAGTAACTTTTCCGACTTCTGTAGACCCATGGTCTTTGCGAAATTCCCTTATTCTGGATTGCTCTTTTGGAATAAGGTCAGCTAAAATATCTTTCGGATTCTACTAAATAAATACAAGCACAATGACATTACCGTACTAGCGCAACGTGAAACAACCTTAATTAAATGCGAGAGCTATTAAAATCATTAGAACAATCTAAGTAAAGAATTACCACGGGAGAGGCGGGCTGTAGAGACAATCGAAGCATAGTTAGGAAAGAGGGAGAACAGACCAAGGGGATGCAATATCATATGTGGCGCCCCTAAAAGTACAGAGAATAACACAAAAGAAACAAGTAAACAAGTAATTCCAAAAAAAACATTAAAAATTTTATTTATTATTATTGTTAAAACAATGATTATAAATACCATCTTACGGCTCCTTATTCTGCATACATATTTTAGACTGTCATTTGTCTTTTGCTCTGCTGTTTGGGATGTTTTATCTCCTATGAATGCTTTTTATCTTTCTTTGTTGTTTTTTTAATGATGCGTCAAGATGCAGCTTCCGCAAACATATTAAATTTTCACGATCAGTCATTATCCAGAAGCTGCTTTATTAATTTTGACAGGATTAGAAAAAAAGGAAAGCTCTGCGATGTTACCCTTATTGTAAGTATTGCTAAGCTAACTTGCAAAACAGGCTGACGAGCAAAAGTTCACCGCTCATAGACTCGTTTTGGCAGCCACTATCCCATTTTTTCATGGCATGTTTTTGAATAACATGGCAGAAATGAATCAGCGGGAAATATGTTTAAGGGGACTCGAGGCTTGGTATGATGACTTCTTTTAATGTCTTTTAGTGCTCTCGAGGCATTTATTTGTTTTGCTTACACTGGGAAAATGCAGATAACTCCATGGAATGTGCAAGCCCTTCTGATTGGCGCTAGTTTCCTTCAGGTCAGCAATGTCAAAGAAGTCTGTTGTAAATATATCGAAGAAAGGTGTGCAGAATTATAACTTTGTATTTTTACACCAATATGTCTTCTAAATAATGCCTTAATTCACAGGCTCACTCCAGATACAGCTCTTCTGGCCAAATCATTTGCCCAGAGTCTTCTTTGCACTTCCCTTGTTAAAGCGTGCGATGTTTTTATCAACGAAAACTTTGTGGCCGTTTCTCGCACTGGGAGTTTTATTAAATTACCTGGCCATGTTTTGCTTGAAATGCTTGACTCGGACGATTTGTTTGTAGACAGCGAAGAGCTAATATTCTTGGCAATAGTACGGTGGATGGAAGCCGGATGGAGCCAAACGCCTATTAATGCGTCATCTAAACCCTCCATTTCATTGGAAACTCTGGTTATGAGTGAAAGTTCAAAATCCTTTCCGGGACAAGACTCTATCCCTCTTTCGCAGGATTTTGTAAAAAAAAATTTGCATATTTCTCAGGGGCTAAATACATATCGTAGTGGCAGTCAGCCGTCTTTGCTCATAAATCAGTTGTGTTCGTATCTTCCTGATGCTGGTGCCGATTTGGTCTGCCCCACGGATGGCGCTCTGTCACTCAGTTGGTCTGTCTCTTCAAACCTTCAATCACATCTTAAACCAAGCAAAGAGGAGCTTAGGACTTCTGATTCTCCTCTTATGGTGAATCCAAGATATTCTATCCTTCCAGATCTCCTGAAGCGTGTTCGTCTCCCTTTGCTTTCGGCCAAATTTCTAACTGAAGTTGTTTCAAAGTATGAGCCTATTCGTACAGAGATTAAATGCCGGTAACTTGTGAGAACATTGTGCCTTCATTCATTCCAGTGAATGAATTACACGTCAATTTATTTTATTTATTATCTAATAATCGATATTCATATTGAATATTTGAAGTAAATTTCATTTTTCTGAAAAGAAATCGCTTTAAAGTTCTGTGAAGTATTTATCTTCCGCTATTAAATTACAGCAACTATCTTAAATATCCTT